TTAATACCATTTATCTCCAGCAACGAAGAAAAATCACATCGCACCTATGTTTTTGAGAAATTAAACAAGAATTTCGCGTCGTATACCTTTACGAGGAAAACAAAAATATCAAGTTACAAACGTTGGCGTGAAAAGTAAAATTGTCACGTTTGCTAGTCAACATATTGAATTTGACTCATTTTATAACAAGACCCAATTTGGCATGGTCTCATTCTGTTGTCAGCAATAATCATAGTTTTTTTTCGGTTTTGATATTCCACGAAACCACTTCAAATTAATATCGATATCAAACCCATTTAAACGAGACGACATTATGGAAGGTAGACAGTGTTGCCTAACTTGAACCAGACACATGAAAAACTGTATAAATTTTATAAGACGCCTTGAAATCTGTAGAACTTGGGAGGTTTCCTTGTTACATTACCCTTCCCAACGCCTGAGAGTTTTTTTGGTGATAAAAAGCAGTTACAGAAAAAGTTTCGTCACTTTATGATAGACGTAAGTTAACCTTTTTGAACCGGCAGGTCTTTTCCGCGGGTGGCGGGTAACGGGTAACGGGTGGCGGGTGGCGGGTGGCGGGTGAGAGGATGGTTCGTGCAACGATTCTCAACGGGGCAGGAAAGAAAGGAAATGAACGGAGAACCATCCGCAAACGAAAGAAAAATCCTCCCAGTGATGTGTCACAGTACGGGGATCGCATTGATGTTGAAGCCTCGATTGAGTCTGATTCTCCTTACGAAGTTGTTTTTATTGCTCAGACGAAGGCTGCAACATGCTACGGGTGCAAGGGAGGGGTACGGGACAAAGGATCAGATCAGCCTGGCCTCCGCTTGCCCCACATGATATTTTCTTGCGGCATAAGGAGTGTCTGTATATCAGCGAAGCGGGGAAAGCAAGATCTGCATTACAAAAACTCCAGAGGCGGTGTATTACCATCCGTTGCGTTGATGTGCCCCACTAGCAACACGCGACAACATCGAAATCGAAGAGGCCACTAAGGGAAGATTGGTAGAGTCCAATAAACAGCTTCTATGAAGTGAACTTGGTATGAAGTTTTAAGCTCCAGCTCTATCAGATCAACTGTAACCCCATGCGAAGCGTTTTGGCTGCAGCTGATGGTCTACATCATCCATACGGATGTGGAACTTGGAGACCACATTTGGCTCCTTTCGAGTCAAACATCTTGCGTTATTTGCCTTTAGAGACACTTGAATTTCCAGCAAATTGTATGACGTTAATTTATAATAGCTCGTATCAAACAATCAGCGTACGCGAACTGGTTTTTTCACCGCACGTTTACTGTTTATGATTAAATTTGTCTGCCATTTTGAATATTCCTCGGTACAGCTGTCTTTCAGGGCTTTTCTAAATTATAAGAGTAAGAGTTAGAGCCTGAAAAAAGAAGTATCTGGGGGTTTTAGGGCTGCGTGACATATCGAAATGTTTCTCGATCTGATTTACGGCGCTTTCAAACCACTTGAAAAGGCTTCTCATTGTACGTAAAAATGTAGAGTTTCTACAGAGTTTTTTGGGGAAATTTTTTGGACATGACCTAATATTTGCCAGATAAACTATATTTTTTGGGCTGCAAGTTCAGGGTTAAAGTTTGCTTGCCCATTTAAGGCGATGGCGTAAATTGTTTGCAAGATAGCCGTAAATGTCTCGCCTCTTATGTTAGTGTACGTTTAGAATTTCTGGTTATGTGAGTAAAACCGTATCAGATTTGTTTATTATAATTATACTATTATTGTAGACATTTTCAGGTATTGCATCCTATGGTTTTGTCAGTATTTGGAGGATTTTGTTGCAAATTTCTGTAGAATAGAATGATTAGAAAGGAATTAAAACTTAAAATTGAAATTAAAAGAAGAAAAAAAAAAAACCGTCACCCGCCACCAGTTACCTGTTACCCGTCAGCCGCCACCCGTGGAAAAGACCTGCCGTTTTCAGTGCAGAGTGCACTATTGGGATGGTTATGGGAGCTGCCTGACACTAAGGCACTATGGCACTAAGGTGTTAACGTTAATGTTTGTTTAATTAATTAATTAGTCTAGAGGCAAGGAAGTGGTGGGGGTGGGGTGGGAAAGGTACATGTGTACTCTACGCAAAACACTTTTCATCACCGTCGGGTTAGTATGGACATCGCAAAGCTATATATTTGTCTCAGGTAACCCCTTGCTCTCCTTGTGGTACCATTCTCTTTAGAATAACACTAATTTGCTCTAAACGCATGCGTGGATTAGTTACCGCTCGTGGCTTCTACCTTAGGTGGAGGATACATTGCATACGGAATCACGCACAAATGTTGAGTGATTTTCCTTATGGTAGAACTCAACATGTAAGACGCATGCGTTCTAGCATCGTTAGTGTTATACACTATCTTTCCAAGCGGTATTTTATATGTCATGTCATGTGACCAAGGACAGCAGTTATTTTTCAGGTAGCGCCAATTGTCCCTTTTATTGCAAAAGTGAAACGTTACTGTGGCTGCGTAGCTTTTAGAATTACACGCAGGTGGGTTCAACAAATATCATCTGCTGTTTTCAATCTACAATAGTGTGCTTCTCAGGGTTCAAATGTATTGCTT